CCCTGACATTGACAATGTCACCGACAGGCGGAGACGCTGTCCCCGCTCGATCATCGCCCATTGAGGGATCTCCGAAGGGGACCCCCGATCCTCGCCAAAGCGTCGATCGATCTCCATGTGCAGCGCGGGGGTTGTTGGGTGTTTCACCGCACAGCGGTGGTGCGGAGGTCCGGTTGGGGAAACGGCGCCGCGGCAGCGTTTCGCATGTGACTGACAGCGTCGTTGGGCCGGGCGTGACACCCATCTCGCCTTTCGCCGGTGTGTTGGGGGCATCTCCGCCGGGTGTGGCCGGGTTCCGTGACGCGGCCACGTTTGGAGGTGTGTATGGTGCTTCGTTGTTGCCATCCCCACTGCTGCCTAGACAGCTGGACTATGCGGCCACGATTCCTTTAGCACATGTATGGTCATATGCGGTAGCCCCACCATGTCCTGATGGAGGCGGTTCTCTTCCAGGAGATCGCAGCGACGCTTTGCGTTCTCCACCCATTTCATGTCGACGAGGCGGCGGGTTCGTTTGCGGTGCCGCCTCAGGCTCCCTTTGTCGCTCCAGATTCCACACCTCCGTTTGACGATGCGGATAGCTCAGCGGCAGTCGGCGGCACGCCATGTTCGGGCGGCAACAACATCGTGCAAATCTGTGTGCGGGACGCGTGTCGGAGACGGTTGTACGCTCTCCGCGACGCCATGGCCGATCTGGGTGACCAGCGCGGACCGGTCAGCGACGTTATTGATCGGCTGCTGCACTGGTCCTTGCCAGCCATCCGAGCGGAGTATGGAGACGAGGTAGGAGATGTGATTTCTTCTTCGTTGCCATCTCGGGTGTGCGGTCGAGATTTCACGTTGCGTTATATGCCAGGCGATTCCGGTGTTGACTACGGTCAGGGGGGCTCGCAGGGTTCAGCAAGCGGAGGCTTTGGTGAGTCTCATGACGGATCGCAGAACTCGTTCCCGTCATCGCGTCGTGCATCGCAGCGCAGTGACAGAGGGCGCGACAGACCCCGCAGCGCGGGTTGTTGCACACGGACACCTGCCCGGCCGCAGACGTGGTGGGATAGTTGGGACGGTGTTGACCAGTGCGGTCCTGGACCTGAAATTGACCGTACCAGTGTTGAGAAGGCGATGGCTAGATGGAGTGGACCGACGGCGCCAGATGTTGTGTTTCTTGAGCCGGTTAAGCTTCTTCAATTGCTGGCCATGTTTCATCTATATTGCCCGTGGCACAAGGGCTCGTGCCGTGTGTCTGTGGAGTCCGTCTCGTATCCTGCGCAGCTCTGTAAGTTGACGTTCGTATGCGACAAGAAATGCAAATGGACGTGGCACACAACACTCGTGACCACGAACGTCTATCAGTCGCGACTTATGCAGCAGCTTTTTCATGCGACGGTGACCGCCGGCCTTACGTTTACGCTACTCGACAGTTTGTTTAGGGATGTGCTCGGTGCACAAACCGACATTCTACAAGTTTATGCACACTGAACCGGGGGGGGCGGAGGGGTGGAATGCCAAGGTCGTACGGCATGGCAAATATTGCGAGCTTGCCATTGACACTGTGATGCGCCGTGGTGAGCCAGTGATATTGATGGCTGATGGTCGATATAACTCTGTCAGAGACGCGCAGCATGGCACTGTCACCGCGATGGAGTACGAGACTCGGCTTGTTGTAGGTGTTCACACTCTCCGTCCGAAGATTGAAGGCAAGGCATCGAATGCACTTGAGGTGCCAGCCGTCGTGCAACTTTTGCGAGGGTTGATGGACAAGGAGTTGAAAATCCGGTGCGTTGTCTCGGATGATTGTGCGGCGCTGGGACCGAAGTTGCGAGCTATGAACATCGAGTGGCAGAAGGATTGCCACCACAAAATAAAAAACATTCGAAAGCACTTCCATAGTATGCTGCAACTGAAGGAAGCGAAGAAAGTGAGCAGCCCGCACGACTATGTATCAGAGGCGCAGTTCATGCAGTTCACGAAGAAGCGGCTAAAGGAGGCGTTGGAGCAGCGTTTTGGACTTGACGTCCTCACACCTGCTGAGGAGCGGCTGAAGAAATCGGACTTCGTCGCTGTCGTCATGCGAAAGATGTACCCCTACGGATCGAGGTTGAATCCTCGAGTGTTGGAGACTGATCCAGACGTCTTGACAGAGTATCATGCGCATCAGGTTGGGATGTGGTTCCTCCGCGCTTGCCAGCTGTGAAGGGACGAGGGCGGAGACGCCGACAGTCTACACCGCGACATCATGTTGGTCGCCGATCATTGGGCTGATAATCATTCAGGATGTGTGGACAGTAGGGAGGTTCTCTGCGAGAAGGTCCGTGGGCGTGCACGATTGCCTTTGTGTAGCCGCACAGACACGGTCTACGAGCTCGTTCTGCGTGTTCTCGATAAACAATGCAGCACTAACATCACGCCGTACTACGTCGAATTTCGACACACATCGGCGGTGGAGACTTTTCAGGGCACCATCATTATCTATGCGAAGAAGTCGGTGCATTTCGAGAAGTCTTTCTGTGCACATTTGTCGATCGCAGTGATTCGTTGGAACAGTCACTGCTGGCGAGACCCGGTCGGGTATGTTGCTCACATTGCTGCGGGCACTTCCATACGTGCGAGACCAGGCTTCCGTCGACACTACGGTCACGAGGCGATCGACTGTTGGGAGGACAGATTGGCGGCGTCAGTGTTCGGTTCGGCTCATGTTTCAGACTGGGCTCGAGAGCTTCTGCGGCATGAGGTTTGTCCTTATGAGCCGGGTCATTGCCGCGTGATTTGTTCGTCATCGGTGGGGGTGACCCAGTGGAAGTCGTTGATGATGATGCCTCGGATTCCGACCATGAGACGGTGTGGGAGAACCGTGTTTTCTTCATCGGTCACGTGGAGGACGATGCGGTGCCTGCATTTGATGATTGGGTCCAGACATCGAGCTCCGAATTTGAGGGTGATGATATAGAGTTGTTCAGCGTTTGACTGGTTGAATGGCTTTATCGTTGACCTGACATCAATGTGGTCATCCGAATTTCATTGTGCATGGCGTTGTTCACACACATGTCATGGTGTTTTGTTTGTTACGCTACATTATGTTCGTCTCTTTACTTGTATATACATCTCTATTTTTGGTCAGTCTGACTTCCAAGACTGATGGCGAGGCTGTATACTACCCCCTATGGTTACATTTGTAATTTTCTTCGACTGAGGGCTAATTGTGAGACGAACCTGTGAGGAAAATTCGTGACGGCCATATCTGTAAATATGGGAAATACAGGCCCAGCAGTATTTCGAATTTCCTATACGTACCCTTGCTGCGAATAGCAGGCCCGGACTACCCCCAGAACAGACAGGCCCTAATGGCCTAAGCTGATAGACAGTTCTATAGCCTATAGTCGGGTTCGGTAGAGGCCGAGAGACCGAAACTGCAACGGTGTTAGTCGGTTAGTCAGTCCGGTATAGGTGTAGGTTAGATTAATGTACTCTATAAGGAGAATGTGGGAAATCGATTGGGGAGCAAGGGACTGAAACAAACTCTGTTATGATATTCGTTCGAGTTGGTTCATCATCAACATCATATGAATTGTGATATTGCTGAGGTTCTTTATTGTGATTGTTTGTTGGGAGTCTGTCGGAGAGTGAGAGTCATTGTCTGACCTCCCTCATGTGTGCATGGTTGAATCTCGCTGCTTATCCTTGTCTGTGTGCAGTTTTGACTTTGTCACCTCTCCCCCTCTTCTTATGCATGCGTGAGCGTGTTTGATATTGTCTGTGTGTGAGTGCCGAAAAATAATCGTCAAACAACCAAGTGATATATATATATATATATATATATGACGATATATATATATATATGTGTGTGTGTGTGTGTGTGTGTGTGTGTTTTTACACATCTGATGGTATCTTATGTGAGTTTTTTGAACTTAAGTGGCGAGAGCACGGATTAGAATCGTTTTTTTCACACATCTAATGGTACAATGACATACAATTGCAAAATGAAATAAATGAACTTTAAATGAGAGATCGAGGATTATAAGAAGAAGAAGATGATGTACACAAGGGAAATCAAATTTTACATAATGCAATCCCTGCAAGTCACGACAACAGGAAATGTCAGTTTCCAGGCAAACACGCACTCGGACTTACATACGTACTCACACTGAAGGCAA